CCACCTCCCACCACAGTGGACCAGCCGAGGTCTGCTCTGTCCTAGGAAAATAAGGGCAGAGCTACAGACAGCAGAGGCCCCAGGGCTGTTCCATTAGCAAGGAGCAAATGTGTTCTGCATGCTGCCATCAGGCAGGGTGGATACTCTGACAAAATGATGGTCACTGTCAGCTTACTTTTGTAGGAAAAAAAGAAATAACCGGATGGTCCCAGCTGCCCCAAGCCAACACCTCTCAAGATGTAGAAGAAACGTGTGTGTATATATAGGTATAAAAACAAGTAAGTCACGCCTCTCCACACTTATAGAGCAATGGCGGCCTAGGACCAAAGCAAGTGCCAGAGGGCCATGAAGTCAAATAAGTGAGGCTGGGGTGTAACCACAGGAGGGTAGGAGACAGGCAACCAGAAGTAGCCCTGGACTAAGAGCGGATGTAGCAAGTAGACTCTCTGGCAGTCTCTAGCTGAAAGGCATCCTGAGCTAATCCCCCCTTGCTTCCACCCTCCCCAGCCCTTCTGCCCTTCTTAGCTCAGAACTTGGATCAAGACCCGATGTGTTTCCACTCCAGCCTCGTTAAGGAACTGAAGTCCCAGACTTACCGTTTACAAAGTCAGCAATGATGTGAACACATCGTTCTCCTTGGAAACACTGCCGGGTTTTCTCCTCGCAGGTTGTTGTTGTGTTGGAGCGATAGCAAGCAGAGCACTGGGTGTTGGTGATAGCCTGTGTTCCTGGGTAAAGGAAAGCCATTGCTTAGAATCATGTTCTCACACTGCCCTGGAGAAGAGGGGACAGGCAAGCAGAGAAGTGGCTGGAGAGTCTGCGATCAGGGAACCTCAGATTTAGCCCCAAAGACACGTGCTTTCCCATGTACAACCCCTGAGGCCACCCTTATGGGGCAGCCAGTCTGCAAGAATGGTAGTCCACAGTGCCCTGGGGTAGACAGGAGCAAGAATGGAAAGAATCCAAGCTGTAACCAATACCAACACCAGCCAGCTGTTTGAAGTATTAGCCATCAGGTATCTGATTGACATTACTTCTCTTTGACGGCCTCTCAAATTGTGGTCAGGAACTCCTGGGTCCCTGAGGCCCTGCAGGGATTCCAAGAGGCTAAAACCATTTTTATACAACATCAAGGTCTTATCTGCTCCTGTTTCTCCTATTGCCTTGTGTGCTTGCAGCAGAATTTTCCAGAAGCCCCACATAATGAGTGAGACTGAAACAGACTAAATACACAAGCAAACATGAGATCCCAGCTTCCGGCTAAACCAGAAGTCAAAACACTCTATCAAAATATATATTTGAGGGTGTGATGCTAGAGAGATGGCTGAGCGATTAAGAGCACAGGCTCAATTCCCAGGTTCAGTTCCCAGCCACCATGTGGCAGATCACAATCCTCTGTAACTCCAGCTCCAGAGGATCTGATGCCCTCTTCTGGCCTCTGTGGGCATTGCACATGCATGGTACACATACATGCAAGCACACACACATAAAATAAAAATAAATAAATGTAAACATACATGTACATATATACATATATATGGAACAATGCCATTCATCTCATTAAATGTTTTTTGGAAGTTATTTTATGTAAAACTCTATTAGTATTAATATGCATAACTTTTTATTTGTTTTTTGTTTCTGAGACAGCGTCTCATTATGTAGGCTGGCCTCGAACTAATAGAGATCTACCTGTCTCTTCTTCTACATCAAAGTTCTAGGATTTAAAGGCATGTGCCACCATGCCCAGCTAAATATTTTTGCTTTTGAGTAAATAAATTAAGATTTGTGAATTTGCTTAGCTTTAATTCCCAACCTTGTAAATGTTAGCAGGTAGAGATCATATAAACAAAAGATTTGGGGAGTCTTCACTTGTTCTAAGACTTAGAATGTTGCCAGGTGTGGTGGTACACACCTATAATCCCAACACTCAGAAAACAGAGGCAGGAGGACTGAGTAAAGGTCATCCTTGGCTCCATAGCAAGTTTGAGATGAGCCTTGAACACAGGAAACATTGTCTAAAAGAAACTCTTAGTTGAGGCCCTGAGATCACAAAGTTTAAGAATGACTAGTGAGCACTCGCTTCACTGGCCACACAAACGAACCGTGAGATCCCTATTTTCATTGTAGAAGAGGAAAGCATGATATTGGGCTGGCTGAACATCTCACATGTTTCTTGTGGGACTACAATAAGTCAGATGCTAACGTCATCCAGCTGTGTGCTGAAGTGCACGGACTTGAGACATCCACCCCCAGCCAAGCAAACCAGACAGAAAATCAAGGGTGAAGCATGGAGGTGTGACACAGGGCAGGCTGTTGGACCCAGTACAAACCGTGGTTGGTGTCGTTGCATGCCTCTCCTTGGCAGCACTGGCTTGCAAAATGGAAGCTTTGGTCATCAAACACGTGCACTGTGAAGGCCACTTGGGCGCTGTTCTTGGGGCAATCATTTGCCGAGCAGGATCTGTTCTGGTACAAATAGGGGGACCCTCCTACATCAAGGCAAACAGAGACTATTAGTGCCTGGAGAGGCTCCAGGGTGAGGAAACAGTGATTCATACAGGGGCAGTTGACTTGAACCTCTGCTCAGCCCAGCTTGGGAGAGACTGGTGTGGAGGCCCAAATTACTCAAGGTCAGACAATCTGAGCTTGCTTTACCCAGCAGGGTTGCATAAGGGAATGGTTTGACCACAGGCGTGGTTACCAGGTGTTTAGAAGGGTCGGTACTTGGCTGTATCTAGCAAGGGGGAGGTCTTTTGCCTCGCCCCTTGGCATTACTATAAAAAGCCTTTTTGAATAAAGTTCTGGGCCTTGGGTATTGACTCAGGTCCTTCCGAAGCTATCCTGTCTCTCTGTCTTTCTTCTCATCAACTAGGTCTATCATTCTACCTAATATTTCTTATCCCTCTCTCCTCAAGAGAACCCTGGGAAAAGTCGGGGAAGGTCCCCCACAGACTGCAGGTTTCTTAAAACAAGAAGAACCCAGCGGGACACCTTTAATTCCAGCACTTGGAACATAGAGGCAGGCAGATATCTGTGAGTTCAAGGCCAGCCTGGTCTACAAAGTGAGTTCCAGGACAGCCAGGCATACATAGTGATAACTTGTCTTGGTGTGGGGGGATGTGAGGGGAGAACAAGAAGAAAACCCTTCCCCATCAGAGAACTCTTTCCTTCATCAGATTAGCAGAGAGATGGGTTAAGCTCTGCCATTAGCTAACCTACACCTTGTGAGCCTCATGTGGTCACATGCAGGCAGGAGAGATGTAAATGAGACCCAGCACAAAGTTGTAAACTTATTTAACATATTATTAAAAGTTTTCATAATCTTTTTGTTGGCTACATCTCTTGGTTCTTGAACATGAACTTTGTGGGTGACAATGTTGTAAATAATGTCAAAATGTTGGGTACAAATGCCAGGCAGGAGGGATACCAGAAAATGGTGATTTAATCTAACACATATGCAGCCCTCCCAGACCACTAATTTTCTTAGCATCTCAAAATATAATAAAGCAGACACAGTGGGGTTTGGTATATGATACAACATCACAGTACTGGCTGGGGCTCCTTCCTAGAAACTGCATGAGAATCCAGTCAGAGCCACCCAATATGGAGACATCCACATATGTGGCTGTTACATTAAATGTGGATTGGTCAAAATAAATTAAGGGACTGGGAGTGTGGCTCTGTGGTAGAGTGCTTATCTGGCGCATACAAAGCCCTAGATGTAATCCCCAGCACCACAAAAAAAAAAAAAAAAAAAAAAAACACCAAAAAGTTAAATAAATTTAGTTGGCCATGTTGGCGTATAATCGTAACCCCAGCATTGAAGAGGCAGAGATCAACACTGGCTTTCCCAATGGCTCTCCGACTTGTTTTTTGATAAAGCGTCTTGAGCTGATCTGGACCTCACAAATTTTAGACTGGCAAGTTCCAGGAATCATCTTGTCTTGGCTGCCACGATGCTGAGACTGCAGGCATGCATGCCATGCCTGGCCTTTTTACGCAGATGCTGAGGGACAAGCTCAGGTCCTCATGTTGGTGTGTCAAGCATTTTAATGACTGACCCATCTCCTGAGGCCCTTGTTGACCAAGGTCACAGTTTAGATGTCAGTTTGTTGTCCTTCATGCTTTTATGCATGAAAGAACTCTAAGTGCCCCCAGAGGTTTCTGTCAGTCAGAATGCCTGGGGAGGAGTTCACCAAGGAAAAGATATTTGATCTAGAAGAGAAAGGAGCCAGGAGGCTGAGAGCCAAGACGGCTGAAAAAGCACATGTCCCGGGCAAAATGTTTGCCTCTTATTTAGCTCTGAGATGCTCTTGCTGTTTACATCTACCAAAAAAAAATGTATCTACAGTGAGGTTTTAATCAGTGGGATTGATTTCCAAGTCATCACAGGGCTTACCCTCTTGTTTGAGTCTGTACCTGTACTGCCAGGCAGCTCCTGCTCACCTCAGTCACAGGGGAGTCGTCTTCATAACCCACTAGTCTCACTGCGCAGCCCGGCCCCAGCTCAGGGGTCCTTCTTGTGCCCACCCTCTTTAGCTCCCCCCGCCACAAGTCCCAGAGATGGAGGCAGCCCCACTCACCTAGAGTGGAATTGACCAAGGATTCCACACAACTGACGCTCCCTTCCGCACACTCAGTGACAATGTTGCTGCAGCTCTCATTGGGTGAGTAACACTGTCGACAACTCAGAGAGTCTAAGAGGACAAAGGATTCACGGAAGTCAACAACCAGCAGACATGAACACCACTTCACAGAGCACCACACCCACCCCAGGAAGCAAAAACAGAGGGGGTGGATGCCCAGCTGTTCTCTAAAGATCCGCAAACTGATGCTGTGACATGGAGTTATGCCCATTAGTTTCTCCCCATTATTCTCCATTCCCCAAGAGGAAGAGTCAACCCTGGCCGGCAGCAGAGTGGTCTCTCTGAAGGGTCTCACGCAACACACCAGGCCAGGTGGTGGGTACCAAGATGCCAAGAGCAAGGACGTTCTGACGGGGTGGAAAAGAAGACTTTATCCAAAAGGGGGCTTCTCTCACCTATAACTGCGATGGCAAATGCCACAAAGATGCCAGCGATGAGGATGCCTTTCATGATGCTGGGCCTGGCTTCTCCCAAGGGTGGGGCCACGGAGCCTCAAACCTGGAAAGACACAAAGAGGGCAGCCCGGAGTCTTGGAGGGATACCTACCATCAAGAGTGTTTTAAAAACACTGAAACATGCTTACTACTGGGTCTGTCCTTGTTTCTGGGGGAGAAAAACCAGTCCTGCATGGGTGGACAGAACTGTGACTCTTATCTGTCCTGTCCTGATTCAAGGTTAAGTTCAGGTGCAAATGGGCAGACCCAGATCTGCTGGGGCCAAGGTATGTGTCTGTCAGATTTCTGTCACTATGATAAAATACCTGAGATAACAATTTAGAAGGAAAAGAAGATTCATTAATTGTGGCTCATGGATTCGAAGGTGCCAGTCATTTTGACCCTTTGTGGAAGTTCATGATGAAGGAGGTTTGTTCACCTAATGGCAGCCAGAGAACGACAAGGAAAGAGGGGAGTGTCCCAGTGTCTCCCTCTATGAGCTGACTTCCTTCTCCCAGACCACCCTCCTAAAGGTTCCAGCATCTCACTATAGAGCTGCAGGCTGATGACCAGGCCATGGGCTTTTGTGGCATATTTGAGATCCAAATCCTAACAGAGTCCCAGATAAAAAGAGTGGCCCAGCCATGCGGTGGTGGCGCACGCCTTTAATCCCAGCACCCAGGAGGCAGAGGTAGGCGGATCTCTGTGAGTTCCAGGCCAGCCTGGTCTACAAAGCTAGTTCCAGGAAAAGGTGCAAAGCTACACAGAGAAACCTTGTCTCGAAAAACAAAACAAACAAAAGAATGGCCCTGGGTTTTGTGTTCTTCTCACCTCCCTCAGGTTCTGTAGTTGCCTCAACTCCCCTGCCACAGGATCTGTGTCCCCCACCCCCACAATTCCAGAGTGCAATGTCTGCTCTCCCTGCGGGGGTCTCCTCCATTCACTTTGATGCTGGGGGGGGGCGAGGGGTTTGCTGCCGCCTCCTATACATTACCTGTGAGCCCTGCTCGGCTCCAAGCCCTTTACATGCACTAATTTGAATAATGTCTTAGCACCTGGACAAAATTGAGCCCTAGAAGGGAGAAATGATGCACTCAAAAATCAAGATCTCACGCCTGAGAGGTGTCGGGGCTGGGATACAATGCCGACCCTTCACTCCCACTCCGTTCGGCCATCCAGCTCACATGACACACCTCAGAAGCCAGAGCCTGAACACATCAAAGCTCCTGAGTTAGATTAAAGTGGCACCCATTTCTCAGTACCTGGCATTCCTTACCTGCAAATCATCTGAATTAGATCTTTCTTGTAGGTTTTTGCCACATTCGTTAGGATGCTAAGTCAAAACTCAAGGAGTTTCTCTTTGCCTGAGTAGCAGTGGAGCACAGGAAGCAAACATTTGCACAGAGCCCTCCTTGATCATCACCTTATTTATGGCAGCCATAGCCAAATGGGGCTCCTTGGGTGAGCTCCGTCACGGCAGGTGGTGACACATCTGTCCGTCAGCACAGGGACCACTGTTCAGACGGTCAGCAGCCACATGTGCTGAGCAGCTGCTGCTGCTAACCATGGCAGACAGAACATTTACATCCTGTGGAGCCCCCGTGAGTAGTGCTGCCTCAAGACAGGCTGGTGCCTCCACTCCACAGACATGCAACTTCTGGCAGAAGCAGAAGCAGCCAGGCTCACCAGTGGGCCCAAAGCAGAACACACTCCAGGTGCTTCCCGCTCTGATGCTTGGCTGCCCCGTGACAGCGGTCACAGACTGAAGCAGAGCTAACCTTTTCTCAGGGAGAACATCCCTCTTCCTGCTCCACCCCGTACCACAGATCAAACACACATCCCACCACACAGCACACACAGCTGCATGGCCTCCTGGTTGACTTACTAGGGACTAGTAAAAAAAGAAGGGAAACTACCCCAGTCAAGGGACAAAGAACCCATATGCTTTCCCAGTGGCCACACGGTTTAGAAACCCACAGGTCAAGGCGGGCGGTGGTGGCGCACGCCTTTAATCCCAGCACTCGGGAGGCAGAGCCAGGTGGATCTCTGTGAGTTCGAGGCCAGCCTGGGCTACCAAGTGAGTTCCAGGAAAGGCGTAAAGCTACACAGAGAAACCCTGTCTCGAAAAACAAAAAACAAACAAACAAAAAAAAGAAACCCACAGGTCAAATCAAGTATGCCCTGTGCAGGGTAATATGGCACAGGGGCTCTGCACTCAACTGTATATTCCTCCATAACAAGACACCTCCTCAGGAACCCCAACTTCTGGGAAAGACTTCTAGAAAATTGTTACTGTCAAGGAAGAAAGGAGAGAGATAAATGTAGGGGAGAAGCTATCACAGAAGGACATTCACTCCACCTCAGGAGATCACCTCAGCTCCCAGCAGCCTGATGGTGAGTCTTAGTCTCAGATGCAGAGAAGTCAGGACCTGGCTAGTAGACAGCGGACAGGCAGAGATGATCCTGAGGTGGGACATGAGGCCTGTTAATCACTTCTTTTTGCCAAAAAAAAAAAAAAAAAAAAAAAAAAAAAAAAAAAAAAAAAGGTCTCTCATGTAGCCCAGGCTAGCCTCAAAACTGACTACATAGTCAAGGATGACCTTTAACTTCCAGCCCTCCTGCCTCTGCCTTCTGAGCGCTGGGATGACAGACATGTGCCACCATACCCAGGTTATGAGGCACTACGGATCGAACCCAGCACTTCCTGCTTCTTAGGCAAGCACTCTGCCAACTGAGCTACATCTCCAGTCTCCTCCCTAACTTGCAACATTCTACTGTTAAATCTTTCAGCAGCCTGGCAGCATGCGGCCACAATTGCTGACATCTTCCAGGGAAGCCAGAGCTCAGAGACACAGTGCCACACGGACAACAGAATGCCAAGCAAACACACCGCCGGCCTCAACCTCTACTCCAGCCTGGCCATCCTGAGAACAGGGCAGCAGTGGGTGGCATTGGCAGACAAGAACCTCAAGAACATCCTGAACACTAGCCAGAGCAGGCCTGAGTCCCCCCAAGTCCACACCACAGGATTCAGCTTCTCCCAGGATCAGGCTCCAGACTCACAGTCCCCTCACCTTCTGGGTCCAGTCAAGGACACTGTCCTGAGGAAGGTGGGATCCTGGCAATGTGTTGGAGCAGGTGTGGGGAGAGGCCTTATATAGCCGGTGGCTGTATGCTCTGAAAGTCCAGTTGCCTACTGGGGAGGGGCCTCTTTGTTAGCCAGGCCCCAGCTCAGGGCTGTTAGTGCCCTGCCCAACCATAGTGACTAGACTACTTAACCCTTATCCTTATGTAGGTGGTGTTCTCTCCGAGACCTGCAGGAATTGGAAGTACCTGCCTTTCCCACAGTGTATGAGGGGACACAGTGTGTTCCTGGCATCTCCCAGTGTCTGCCATAGTGCACTGACTCACTTCCATGGCCTGGAAATAGTATTCTGCAATAGTAGCTTGATAAAAACAGTCCACTCCCAGTTCTGGTAAAGCACCCATTTATAGATGAGTACCCCAGCTATAGATGAAAAATGTAACAGGTTTGCCCATGGCAGGTCATTGGGCAGAGACAGATAGATCACAGGAGGACCACACCACTCTGAGAAGAGGCTCAGGTCTCTCTGGCAAATGGTTTCACCTGGCTAAGTTTCAGAGTCATCCAGCTGAGACAAAGCTAAACTCATTGTGCAGCTGCATGGGATGATGGGTGGGCCGTGAAGGGAAACTTGCCCACAGCGGCTCTACACAGGGGTCAGGGCCCCCATCAGGGGTTACTGCCTTCTCTGACAACCAGGCCAGCTTCCTGTGATCAATCTGGACAGCTAGCATTGACTAGAGCCCAGGTCAGGTGCACTGAGACCCGTCCCACCCCCTCGTGTGATACTGTGGCTCTCCTCATCTTTCTGTTGTCCTACCAACGTAACACACACACACACACACACACACACACACACACACACACACACACACAATTCCCTAGACACTCCCGAAGCACCCTCCATATGTCAAGCTGGTTCTAGGCATTTGGGAGGGCCTATGACCTTTACTCTCCTGTTCTCTAGAGAGGAAGTCAGAACACAAGCAAATATGATAAACATGCAAAATAGACGAAAAGACCAGGGTCAATGCATCAACCAAATGGGAGTGTAGGACTGATCTTTAAGTGGAAGCATCAGAATCATCTAGCAGAGAAGGCACAACCTGAGTCAAGTTTCTAAGCGGAGACTCTGGCCAGTCTTCTTCTCTCTGCCCCACCCTTCTTCCAGCTGTTTGATGAGGGAGGTTCCCTGAATGAGAGCAGTCCCCTGTCTCACAGAATCCTGTTGTTTCCAGCCACACTCCCACTTATGCAACAAAATTAGCTAGCAGGGTGCAGGAGATGGGGTGGTGGATACAGGAGAATGATCAGGGATGAGGGCAGATGAGGAGTCCCAAGCATGTAGCTGCCCCAACTGCACATGGAGGACCTTGAAGTGCCCATGAATTTGTTTGACAGTCCTGGGAAGCCTCATCCAGTATTATAATGAAGATGGGTACAGGAAAACTAGACTGACCAAAGCCAAGTCTCCTCAAGAGGCTCAGATACCCAGGCTAGAGAGACAAAAGCAACCAAAAAGATATGGTCTGAATCCAGACTTTGCTCCTCATGTCACATAAGTTACTTATTAACCTTGTTCACCATCTGAGCTCACTGTGTGAAATCCCAGCAATAGCCCTAATAAAAAGAGCTGCTGGTTATTGCTCCTGAAATTCACATGTCATTCCACCAAGTTCTCCAAGGCCATCCATCAGGAATGTTGGAGGGGGGTTGAGCCTTTGGAGTTACACAGATGATCTTGACCATGTGTCCTCATTGGTGTCAACACTGAAGGCAACAGCAACCCCTAGATTCAGATGCAGCTCTGTACCACTCATCACCATCCTGGGTTTAGTGCCTTTGATGTCCTGAATAATACAGATGGGTACCACATTTCCTTGGACAGATGAGGAAACTGAGGCCCAAAGAGGTCTTTCCTCTAAACCTTA